AGGGGGGCCAGTGCCTGCCAGCATCAAAGAAAGGTGTCTGGGTGCTGGGGTTGCAGCAGGGTGCCTGCCCCTCCAGTGGGGAAGGGGGTGAAGGGGTCCTTTGCGGGTAGAGAGGAGCTGTGTGGCTGGACCAGAGGTGCCAAGGCCGGTGCCCATGCTTGCAGGGGCATGGCGGCTGTGAGATACTGCCCAAGAGAAGTGGCCATGGCCAGGCTGCCCAACATAACTTGGGAGTCCCAGCCCAGGGCAGGGGTAGAGGTCACAGGCTTCCCCTCCTCCTCCCTCCAGCCTGTACCAGGACTGGACTTGCTCTGCTGCCACCTGCACTAGCCAGAGCTGCCGCAACCGCCATGCTCCAGCCCAGATGGGAGCAGGTGGGGTCCTCTCCAGAAGGTCTGGGTAAGGAACCAAGGTCTGCAGGTTGGGAGTGAGGGGCACTGTAGGGACAGGGAACTGTAGGTCACATGTGAGGGGCACCAAGGAGGGTTGAGGGGCTGCAAGTCGGGAGCGAGGGGTATCGGTTATTTGCCTTGTATAAATTGCACAATGATGAATGTCACTGGGGAGTAATGGAGGGGTGCATGTTGATATTGCTGTTAATGTTTTCCTGTTCACATTGATTTCTGTCTTTAAAATAAAGACTGTAGAGCTGCTTTGACTTACAGTATGTAATAGGTATTTTGAAGCCAAAATACTTTTGTGTTTTCTACTTAAACTATTTATTGGGTCGGGTCTGGCCATCAATGTTTACAAATGGGTCCTGGTATAAAAAAGGTTGAGAACCACTGCTTTGAAGTACCTCAGCAAGGAGCACTGTGTAGTTATACTTCAAGAGAAAGCTGTTGCCTCGCCTCTTAGACCAGCTGTGGCCCTCTGTGGTGCTAGAATATATCTGAGCAGCTTTGAATTTGATATGAGGCTGTTGTGGAAGCTGCTTTATTGTTATCATTCTCCCACAACCTCTATTTCATATCAGTAAAAAAAGAAAAAACCCTGGAAAGATTCTGAAATATTTGGGAGATGGGAGCAGAAATTGTAGTGCCAGAGGTGGAAAGAGGTGAAGAGAGGTATTCGAAATGGGGGGGAAAGGGAGGCTGGAGGGCTGTCGTGAATTAGAGGCTTTGCGTTCCTCTGCAAGAAATGCTTGTAAATGAAAGTAGTCACCTTTCAGCGTTCCCTCTACTTAATACAAACTGATATATCCTAATGTTTGCAGAAAGCTTTGTTATTCTTGATGATGCAAGGGGGCAGAGGGCATGAAAGGAGGAAATTATTTAGATATATAGCAGCAGAAATTGGTGCCTGGCTACAAAATCATCCAAAAGACTTATTTTGGTGCAAAGCCAGATTCTAATAACATTTCAGAATGTTTTTGCTAAATTGATTCTGTCTTTTATTTTTTTTCTTCCTTTCTTGAACATTAATCAGCTCCCACTTTACCGGACTATGAAGGAGTTGATGCATCTCTCAATGAAACAGCTACTACTATAACTGTATTGTTGAGACCAGCGCAGGCCAAAGGTGCTCCTATCAGGTAAAAGGAAAAAAATAAAAAGTGAAAAGAGTTTTCATAGTAAATTGCATATTTCTTACTAACTAATAAAAGCAGTTTATTTCTATCAGAAGGATGCTGTTGGGTTTTTTTATTATTTCTGGTTAGACAAAGTGTACAAGTAGACCTATAGTTAACAAGAGTAAATTGTTCAGATTTCAGATATTAATGGCCTAAATCATTCTGCTTGATTTAGGATTCCTCCCATCCGGTACCACTTCATTTCACTTCCTGTCTTGATATATGTGAAAAATAAGATTTGAAGGTATTTGTCAGAAAGCCATTTTGAACATAGTGCTACCTCTCTCATACTTCAAATCTGTGATTTTATAGTGTATATGTGTAATTGGGAAATAAGAAAAAATACGAGAATAATGGTGAATGCAAACTATTTGACCATTTTTCTCCTGGGAGTACCTCTTCTTACAAGTCATGGAGTAGCTGGCATGTCCCTTAACGTAACATGAAACATTTTAATTATTAACTTTGAGAGATCTTTCTCTGTTGTTCCACAGGAAGATAATTTCATTCTGTATGGAAAGCTGAACTCCTCTCCTGCTTTGAATTTCTCCTGGTTTGTGAAAAATTCATGGGCTGTTGTTTGGTTTCCATTTGCCTAAGAAACGTTTCAGTGATATTTCAGTATCCAAAAGATAATAATTTATCCATGTAAAAGTAAAGACAAATGACTGGTTTGTAAACTATTTTTTTACTGTAAGGACATCAATCTTTAGAGTTGCTGGATATGGTGGGTATGGTAGGGTGCTTAACTTCCCTAAGCACTCCAAATCTCTATTTTAGAGATTTACCATACATTTTTGCAGGGTTGATCACCATTGCAGTCTCTCAGATTCCTTGAATATACAAGTGGGGATAATGAGATTTCATTCTGTCCTAACACCGAGAGAGAATTTGTAATTCTAGACACTTACTTGTGGTATTTTACATTTATTTTTGTTTAATTGCTGCTGAAGATAACTAGTCATATTCATTCCCTTTACAGGAAATGCATGACAGCGATATCCATAAATACAACTGTAAACTGTTCAAATTCATGGGAGCATTAGCCTCTGAATACCTGTTTTGGGAAAGGCCTATGGTTTGATGGTGTGCAAAATGCTAAAATATGTATAGGCTAGATCCAATGCAGGATTTACGCACCTAAAGCAGAATGTAGCTGGCATTTGGGGCACCAGAATCCAAAACTGTGATCTATAAATCCATGTTTCAGTTATTGCCTAATCCTTGAGATACCCAAACTCATCTTGTGCCTCCAGGTTTCACTTGAAAATTCCTGAAATGTGTAGATTTCTTTATAAGGATGTGACCAGCACGTCCCCTAGTCTGTATGCCATTGAGCCCAATCCATGTATCCCTTGAGCCCAATCAAAATATAGACGCTAAATGAGTGGTTGGTTTCCAACCTTTTTAAATGCAAGCACACCCCTCCATAACTTTTCTGAATTTAGCAGCAATGCATTTTGGAAACTAATTCTTTTATTACATTGTGTAAAAAAAAATAATGTGACTGAAAACACATTTAAAAAACCAAGTAGAGATGTTTATCTGAAGATTTATAAGCGGCTACTAGTGTACATATTACTTCCTTCACTCAGAGATGTTGGAAATGCCCCCTCTTAGCTTTCCCTCATTTTTTGTCTATAGAAAAATAATAGAGCAATTCTTCTGTTCCAGAATGACCATAGCAGGTTAGAATGTTTTTCACACTGTGGATTCCTACTTGAAATCTCCAGGTTTATCTTGTGAATCATGTAGGTGCACACCTAGCAGTGGTAGAATTGTGTGGATCCTTTGGCAATGTTAAAAGGATCTTGCTGCTTCTCCATATGGCTTGGCACCCTAGTTGAGAATTACTGAGCTAAAGATTTCTAAAGCTAAGTGAATCCAGTGTATTAGGCATGCTCCTAGCACATCTACTACATACCAGAAGGATCAGGCCCCTTCACTAAATGAATTTGTGGCTGCTCTCTTTTAAAAGGTGACTGCTAGTAGTGCCCACCTGTTCCATATGCTTATTATGATTAAAACATTTGCTTGCACCAGGGGAAGCCTGAGTTATTTCCCTCACTCAGCCTGAAGGGCTTGGGATCTTCACCTGAAGGTAGGCCTCTACAAGCTCTACAAAGAATAGCAGCAGTAGTGGTGTTGATAATTGTAATTGCCCCTCCCTGGGCTTTTATGGCTAGACTGTTACCAATTCCTGAGCTTGCTAATTTAAATATAGCTTGAGTATTTCAACACCACACTGCTGTGACAGTGATGTAGGCATAACCTGTTGTATGTACCATTTTTGTTTTAGTAATTTTTCTTTCATCTTTGGTATTCTTGTATGTTTATCAGTGATTTTTAAAGGAAATGTTTAGGGATATGTTTAAGGTATTGATAGCTGATTGATAGCCTAACAGAATCTAGTATCCCAATATTGACATTGGATGACAGAAAAGTAGTTTTTATTATAGATATCTGAATGTCAGTTGGTCACATTAGCTCCTCACATCTTTCACCATAACAGGAGTATGTGTCATGACCTCAACACAAATGAGATCTGTGCCAAAGGTGTTATCTCTACTTCCAGTACCATTGATAAAATGAGATCAGTGATTACTCCAGGATCCTGGTTTTCTCTGTTAAAAAAATCATAAATTCTCTGATAAAAATGCAAATTCTCTCAAAAAAACCCAAAATCCACATTTTTCCATAATTTAAATGAAATGCCACTATATATATAGGTATCAGTTGAACACAATGTTTTATTGATATATTTACATTTTTAAAACAATTGAAAGCCTATCAGTGCCTCAATCACTATAATAAAATACATTCTAAAAACTTATAAATTTTGGCATTTGATTTTGGGTTTTTTATCATGGAAAATCAGGGTTCCCCCTGCCCCCTTTGCTCACCATAACACAGGTCTAGATGCAGCTGCCCATCATATCCCCACCCCCCCTCGCCAAGCCCCACTGCTTTGTGATGCTGAGCAGCCCTGATATACCAGTGCCCTACCAATGCCCCTCACTCCCCACCCACAGCCCCTGCTCCACCCCCCCAGCCCTGCCAGAGCAGGCCCCCAGCTGCCAGAGTTACAGGGCCAGGGACTCAGTTCCACAGCTCCCTGCTCCCCCGCAGTAGTACCTGAGTCCTGGCTGCTGCCCATGGGAGGGGAAGGCTGTTGTGGCCTGAGCAGGGTGCAGAGCGTGGAGTCCAGCTCCCCCATCCCCATGGGCAGCACAGCCAGAGTGGAATCCATGGGCATGGGCAGATGCAGGCTGGCAGCAGTGTGCTTGTGGGTTCCCACCCTGCTGCCCTCCCACTGGGGGCCTCTGCAGCCCAGCGGGCAGGACCCAGCCTGGCAGAGCAGGGTGGGCCAGCTCAGTTTTAGGGCTGTGCAAAGCTTTGGGTGCTGATTCGATTCAGAGAAGATTTGGCCCGATTCGGTGGCTGAATCTCGAAATCTAATCGGGAGACCAGTAAAAAGGTCTGAATAAATTCAAAGCTTTCCGAATCAATTCGGAAAAGATTCAGAGAGCTTTGGAGATTCAGGAGCTGGACACGGACTCCGTGTTGGTAAGTAGGGGGGGTGAGGGAACCATGGAGGAATCCTCACCAGGCACCACCCCCTGCCTGCTCCCCCAACTCCCCTGATCAAGCCCCAACCCTCATCTGCTTTCCCAGCCCCGTCAATGGCTGCCCCGCCTGGCCCCAGTGTCCCGGATCTTTAGAAAAAACCCAAAAAACAGCCCCGCACTTACTGGCTCCTGCCAGGAGGGGGAGTGATCCTCAGTGCCCCCTCCCCCCCCCCCACCGCCCGGCGGTGCCAGG